AGAAAATGGTAGCTCCTTGTGTAGAGTTTGGATTCTAGTGTATGTGCCAGAGAGCAGCTCATAAAGTCAGGTGTGTTCCCAAGGCCACACAGCCGTGCCCTCTCTCACCAGGGTCACATATCTTAGGGTTCCTATCACATCCTCCAAGAGGCATCCCTCACCTCCAGTCTGGACCCAGGGATAACCCTTCCAAGTACCCATGGCCACCTCTTATCCACAGCAGTGAGACCACCTCTATCAGGATGGGGACTGACCCCCTCTTCACCACTGTGACCCCAGAATCCAGCCCATGGCAGGGAAGAGTACCAGGAAATCTGGATGAGGGCAGAGCTGGAGCAGGAGATGCCCAGAGCAGGAGGCCTTTAAGAAGCTGTTCAGAGGAAAGCCGAGGGGAAGACAAGGGGTACATTGGGGACAGCTGGCCTGCGGGGGAAGAGCTCCCTCAGTGGACGCTGTGGTGTGTTTCCAGAACCCCTTCAGGAAGGGGCCTTGTTCTCCTAGGAGTGTTGGCTGCTGGTGGCTCAGAGCAGAGTCCTTAGGAGCTGCCTTGCCCAAGCTATGCCCTCAGCCAGGGCAGCCCACACCCAGCGACTGGACAGGTTGGGGGTGAAGGCCTCACTCCTGGGCTTCAGCCCAAGGCTGCTCTGCAAGGCCACCCTGGCTCTAGAGCTCCGCGTGGGATTGGCTGAGGCCTTTGTCGTGACTGTCTCACGGCTCAGCTTCTCCATGCCCAGCCCTGCTCCCCTCCTTCCCACAGACCCTTCCCAGGAAGCTTCCAGGGTGTGAATCTCATCTCAGAATCTGCCTCCTGAGAACAGCAGGCACCCAGAGCAGGAGAGGCGGGTAGTGATATGGGTGCCAGTGAGACAGTGGGAGCTCCAGCTGTGAAGCTTCAGGAGGATCCCGGCGCCCACGGGAAGGAGGTTGGGCCAGGGAACAGAGGCACAAGGCAGGAGGCCTCTGTGGGAGGGGTATCTTGCTGAGGTCGACAGAGGCTGGGTGGGAAAGTGAGGAGGAAGAGGAGAAAAGGAGGGCTTGGGGGGGAGTTCTGGCTTCCTGGGTTAGAGAGAAGTTAATTCTCCTGAAGGATGGGACAGAATGGGATGAATCTGAGCTTACCATGCAGCTGCCTGCCCGTGACCATGACCAAGTACTTACATTTTTCAAAGCATGTGTTTATTTAGCCTTAGAACATTATCAACATTCCTGTCACTTTCTGTTGCTTGGATGGAAAAGGATTACCTACCTCCCTGGCAGTGTCCCTTGTAAGCACAGAAATTCTACAGATACCTAGTGGGAACTCTCAGCCCTTAGGTTTGTACCTGTGTGAAGCCACTCTGGATGTTGGAAAGTGCCGGGGCTGGGCTGGGGGGTGTGGGATGTCTTCCCAGCTTAAGCTGAGGTGAAGGACAGGAGGCTTTCCCCAGGGAAGGCAGGGAGGGCGCCCTGATGGCTGAACACCAGGCTCCACCCTCGAGGCTGCTCGAATGCAGGCCAGATGGCCAGGGCTCCCTCTAGGCAGGAAGTGACCGACCACAGATTCCTGTGGAGGGTCAGCTGTGGACGTGCATCCACCCTGACAGCTCTGTGTGACTCTGGGGACAGCTGGGGTGTGAGGGGCATGGGTGCATCTAGGGACTTTCCCACGGGTTACCTCTACCCACAGCAGCCCTACAGCCTGGTAAGCTCAGGAGCCAGGTGACTCTCCCCAGTTCACAGGCAGGCCTCCCTGCCCCATGAGGGCCAAGGTTACACAGCAAGGTCAGGACAAAACCCAGGGCCCCACCTTCCCGCCCAGCCTCTGTCCTCAGCAGCAGGATACCCTTCACTCAGAGGCAGCTCTAACATGGGGACACGCCCAGTGGAGGACTCCAACATGGTCACTCCAGTATGCACACAGACACGTGAACACAAGCACAGCCATGACAAGAAAGCAGCGTCCCATGCTGGCACGAGAGGGGAGGGGACGGCCACCGGGGACAGCAGTCAGCACCAGTTAGTCCCACATTGAGCATCTGCTTAACTCATGACCTAGCCCTTCTGTTCCTGAATCCACAGAACATTATCATCAGTTCGTAAGGGGAAAGGACAGGGATGTTCACGGCAGGGTCACTGGGTGAGTAAGTGTGTGGTCACAAGCTATGTGGGTGTGCATCAGTGTAAGCACGCTACTGATGGGCTGCTGGGGGTGGGAGTGAGATGTAGTGACCGAAGTGAATGAAGAGAGGCCCTTTAGGGAGCAGAGGCAGGCACAGACCATGAAGAGAGCAGTAGCACTAACTCGCTCCATGCGGGCCCCTGGTCCTCGTGAGTACCATGGCTTTCTACCAGGGTAACAGAGTAAGACTGTCTCAAAGGCCTGTGTGCAAGGGGCACAGGGCTCAGGGAAGGGCTGGAGCAAATGTCTGCACTTCAGGAGGGAGGCTGGAAAGAGGTGGGCAGCTGTTCTTGGAGGTGAGCTGAGCCCCCTCTACTCTAAGCCTCTGAGTCTGCAGGGCTGCTGAGTGAGCCTGCATCGTGGGACACATTCTTCCCCGGGAATGTGGCTGTAAGGGGAGCTACTCTGGGAGCTGAGCCAGCCTCCAGTAAAACAGCCTTCATTTCATTCTAGAAATGGTTTTTTGTTTGTTTGTTTGGTTTTTTGTCCTTTGCAAGCACCTCAGGGAGTGGCTGGCTAATACACTCCACGAGCCCTGCAGGGCAGCTGACCTGGTCTCCCTGGCTGGCACCTTGTGACTCAGTACTTCCCAAGGCGAGACCCATGCAGTGTGTGTCTCTGTGCAAAATGGCTCTGCTAGGGAAGCCCTTTGGGAGCTGGTCACAAAAGCTGAAAGCTGTGACGGATGTTTTATCAGCAGATCAAAAGCAGAGGTGCCTGGGCTCTGGGAAGGCAGCTGATTCTCTCTCTGGATTTCAAATATCCCTCCATAGTTTGTATCCATCCTTCATGATGGAGAGAAGAAGTGTAAATGGCAGCAGTAAATTTTGAGTGAGTTTCACTTTGGATGTAAATCCTAAATTGACCAACGGTGAGTTGAGGTCTGGTTTGGCATTTGATGTAGGCTCCCTGCTATAAGCATGTGTGAACCCTGATAGATACTTATTAAACATCTTTTGCTCCAACCGCTGGGGGCAGGAGTGCTACTCAGAGATCTAGCTCAGTCACTGATCCCCCTTGTTTTTAAAGACAAAGAAACAAAGACCCAGAGAAGGAAAGTGTTTATCCTGGGATTCCTGACAGGTTACCTGTGAGCTGAGGTAGCCCCGCTCTCAATGTCCTGGGCGTGCATCACCTCTAGCAAGTTACCTGTGGGTGAAGGTGGCCTCTGACCTCCTAGACCTGCCCAGGCCTCTGCAGAGTAGTATGACTAACAATAAACTGGACAGAGGTGTATGGGTGCTCAGGCCTGTAATCTTAGCACTCTGGGAAGCCGAAGAGGGTGGCCTGCCTGAGCTCAAGAGTTCAAGATGAGCCTGAGCAAGAGTGAGACCCTGTCTCTACTAAAAACAGAAAAACTAGCTGGGCATTGTGGTGGGTGCCTGTAGTACCAGCTACTCAGGAGGCTGAGGCCAGAGGATCACTTGAGCCTAGGAGTTTGAGGTTGCTGTGAGCTATGACACTACGGTACTCTACCAGGGTGACAAAGTGAGACTCCATCTCCAAAAAAAAAAGAAAGAAAAGAAAAATACTGGACAGTGTACAAGCAAACATCTATTCACTCATTGGGCTTAAGGAGATGTTACCAACACATTTAATAAACTCCCAAATCAATGACTGCAATTCATTTTAAGAGACTATTTTAAGTAATAATTATCAGAATTCCCTCACATCTGTGTATTATTTCACAGCTTACCAAGTCCTTACACATCTCTTTTCCACTTACAACACTCCTGAGGAAGTTCTTATCACCTGTGTCTGGAACTGGAGAAAGCGGTGACCTTGCTTATCCAATATCCCCCAGGTAGTGAGGGCAGAATGCGGACTCAAAGCCAGGCGTCTGTCTCAGGTGCGAGGCTCTCTCCAATGCACTACCTACTTGCTCGAAAATTTCTGCTTCCTGACAAGCTCCAGATTTAGCCCAACCTTTGGGCCTCCCACATTGAGATCAGCCAGGAAGTGTTAAAATTAGCAGAGGTTTGGCTTTTAGTCAAAGCAGGTGCCAAGTCACAGCTGCACTTACTACTTTAACCCACAAAAAACTGGAGGGCTCTAGGTTGGGTTCCCAGCGGGCCAACACACTCTTTGCCTTGAGGAAACGCTATTAAAGGGGAGCCTGCTTGGTTTGACACATATAGAAGAACAAATCTCTTCAACAAGTCTGCACGCTTTCCAATGGCTGTTATCACTTGGGGGGTAGACTTTGTGTACACACAAAGGATGACCGTAACTGAGAAACGAAAGCAGAGTCTGGAGCTGCTATTGTTAGATCACTTTTATTTAGAGAACTAGGACATCCAAAGGGAAAGCAGAAGACCCAGAGCCAACTTAGCCTATATTGTGTTTTCTTATAGCTAATGTCAACCGCAGCCAGCCAAGACCTATAGAAAGACCAGGATGATACTTACCTGGAACTGGGGAGAAGGGTCTGGTTTAAAAATGTATATAAATACCCCAATATGATGGTTGGCACACAGCAAACATTCAATCACTGTTCGCTGTAAACAGGAAATCATGCAAGAAAGAGAACAGACCAATCCTGTCATAGCAGAGGGTCAAGGAACTGGCCAGTCTGGGGTAAGATGAGAAGAGATAGGGTTGTTGCTTCCAGGTGCAGATGGACTCATCGTGCCTAGAATGAGGCCAAACAGGACAATACTCTCCACCTGCCTCCCTCTGAGACCCGCCTTCCCTGTGGTCCTCAGAACTCCCATGAGCACACCAAGCTTAATCATGGGGGTGGGGGGTATTAAAGGCATTGATTACACTCTTGATTCAGAACCTTTATGAAGCTGAAAACCATGATCAGAGAACAAACAACATGAATCACTGTGTCCTCAAAGATTATTTATTAGCTATTCTCATAGTAAAACGAAATAAAAAAGCAAATGAATTTGAAACAAAATAATTATCTTAGCCTGCACCATTTCTCCCCCGAGGACCTCAATGGGACCACACAAAATGGACTACCGGGGGTTTCACATTTGCAGCTTACTTACAGGAAATTACACCGAAAGAAACAAGACATGACACTTTAATATCTACTGAGGTATAGAGTATGATGTGGCACAATAAGAAAGTAACAAGGATGATTTTTTTAAAACAAAGAACCTGGAGGCTATGAGCAGAGCCCCTTCCTAGCCCACACGGTCACACCCGTGAACGCTGGGCTCCGCGGTGGAATGAGTCTTCCCAGTCCAGACAGTCCTACCGCACATTCTTGGCAGTGGCCAAGCTCTGTTCTTTGATGGTGGATTTGATTCCTGACTATAATCTGGTCACCAAGAGCTGGGTTGGACAAACAAGGGATAACGGCATTCTGAGATGTAGCTGGGAGATAAAAGCTGTGAATGCTACAATAATGAGACTAGTTTTCTTATGTTGGCCCCAGCTGGCCCTGACGGTCTTCTCAAAGAGGCAGCAAACTTCAAACCCACACCAAGAGCTGCGAGCTTCATGAGAATGTGTGCCCAGCCTCCCGGGGTGCATGTGTGGAAGGTCAGCGTTTGTCTGGAAGCTTAAACTCTGGGAGCTAAAGCAGTATTGTATATTCATTCTTGCAAAATGGAAGCCTGTCAATTTAAACTAAATTGAAATTGGTCCAAATTTTAAGAAAGGCTGGTTCTTAAAAGGATTTCCATTCCTTGGGGGTGGACAGCAAGGGGCTCTGTTTCCTTTCCTTCCCTCTCTTCAAGTGCTTGCCTCCTAGCGCGCTAGAAGATGGCTACGTGTCTGTCCTTCCTGATGCCTGGCCTCCCAAGGAAAAACATCCCAAGCACCAGCAATGCGTAGGCTGGTGCTCACTGGGTGGCCTCTGGACAGTGACCCACTGCGTGGGAGATCACAGCACCTTGATCTCAGTGGACTCCCGCCAGTTCTCTAGCAGTTCAGACACTGGCCCCCATGAGCCCCTGCCCTCCCCCCAGATCCAGAGGCCCCGAGGGCAGGGCAGATGAGAATGTTGCTAATCCTCGGGGATAGGAGTGTTGCAGTTCCCGTGATAGATCTTGACGTGGCCCTCGCACTGGAAGTAGGCCTCAAAGACGTCACTGTAGCCGTGGTCCCTCCACCAGGTGCAAAGCTGCCGGTTCCAGGTGCAGTCCAGCACGTGGAACAGCTCGGGATGCTCCATGCCGATCATGGTGAAGAAGTCCTGGTCCCCCAGGTGGCCGCGGAAGTGGTACTTGTCTGTGAGCTGCTGTACCTGGGCCGGCTCCAGCAGGTGGCTGTAGAGTGGGGACTGGCGCATGGCCTCCAGGTTCAGCAGCATCACCCCACTGTTGAAGCCAGGCAGCCCCTCAGGGGGTGGGCCCCCAACCCTGGTCTTGGGGTTCTCACGGCGGAACTGCCAGAATGTGTGCCTGTGAAAGGAGAGAGAACAGATTCAACCCAGCGTGCAGAGTGAGACACTTGGCATTCCTGCTTCCCCGGGTCTCCCCAACCACCCTGCAGGGAGACGGGAGTTCCATCTTGGTTGCAAACTCCAGAAACTGACCCTCCAAGGTTTAGAATCTACACTAAGCCACCAGCACATGGCAGACTTGGGACCGGAACCCAGGTCTTGTACTCCAAGCCCTGTTCTCTCTACCATCCTCTGCTGCCTGAGGAGTATGACGGTGATGTCACCATGCTCATTGTCATCATCCTCCCCACAGCTAACATTTGTATCAACTTGGGATGTGCCAGGCGGTGTCCTATAGCAGCTCACTCACTCCTCACAACAAGCCTAAGAGATGAGAGCTCTCTGGGATGATACAACATTTCTCAGCTGAGGAAACTGATACACAGAGAGGTTAAGTAACCTGCCCTAAGTCACACAGCTGGTAAACAGCAGAAGCAGAGACTAAACGAGACATCTATCTGGTTCCAAAGTCTACTCCTAGTCTTTGTGATCTTGAAAAGGAGAAGAGAGAAGCAGATGAGCAATTCTTAACAGGAACCTGGTCAAGACATCAGAAGATGAACACAGGCTGAGACAAAACCATATTCTGCTTTAGGACATGCCTCCTTCACTGAGACCCCCGAACCCAGCATTTCAGAAAGGCTGGGCAGAGGCTTGGGGCTTCAGACAGCTCAAGGCATGTGAAGGATTAGGGAGAAAGGCAGCTGCAGAAAAGCCAAGTAGGATGATGGCCACTTTAGAGAGAATGTTCCCAATTTCAATTCCTCTCTAGCAGATTCAGAAATCCAGTTTCGGTTCACAGTTCATGGGGTGTTTGAGCCAGAGGGACCCTTGTAGGCCCCCTATCTGAATGCTTCCATTTGGAAGAGGGAAGAAAGACCTAGCCTCCTCCCTGTGAGTGACAGGTTAGAGCACTGGCTGGTCCACCCTCTGTTCCTTAACATCAAGGTCCTGTGTGTGCAGCAAGGGGCAGGCAGGGATGCCCAGGCCCGCGCCCACAGACACAGTGCCTGTGCCTCGGAGGAGAGAGGATCACCACAAGGCCTACTGTGGGATCAGGGGGAGGGGTGGGAGTGCCCCACATCTTGGCAGCACCAACTCTGCTTCTCAGCTTGAAGATGTGGCCCCTCAGGTCCTGCAGAGTCACTTCTCCAGCCAAACACAGCACAGGACCTATGAGGGGACACAGAAAGCACAAGGGGAAGGAACCAGAGACCCAGTTCAGGGGACAGCAGCAGGGCCACCTCCCAGCCCCAGCACCTTTCTCTGTGTCTGGGAATGGAGAAACCTTTCTTGACGGCTCAAGTATCACAAAGATGCTGAGAGTGTGTTCCCGGTGCGGGGAAAAGCATTTCCTTCGGACAAGTGGAATCCAGGGCTTCCTTGTTTAAATCTCACCATGACCAAAGGCCTGTGAGTAGCAAGAGCTCTGGCGCCTGCCTGGTGATAACAGCTCTGGCAAAAATAAGCTTCTCAAGCAAACTGAGATGTGGCTGTCTTTCTAGCCACAAAGCCTGCAGTGATGGGGTCACACAGGGTTGGGAAGCATGTGGCCAGTCTTTGTTCCTTTTGCCCTATTTATGCCAAGTGGTTAATCTCAGAACCAGGTTAAAAACCAGAAAAAGTCTGCCAGACAGGTCAAGGCATGACATAGTAGAGGGGAGATACTCCAGCTAGGGGAAACAGATGCTTTCCCACCAAGGTGCTCAACTCACCCTGCGAGTGTGGAAGCAGACACATCTCCCAAGGAGGAGGAGAGACCAGAAGAGGGAGGGGCAGGGAGGGAGGGCCCCATCCACAGAGGGCCCAGTGTCAGTCCACTGGCATGACTGTCCTTTCCCCCATCTCTTTTCTTCCTACTCAGAAGGAGAACTTGCCTGGTTGGGGGTGCGGTCTCTTGATTCCACAGGGCAAGGACTAACCAAGGAGCAAGGGACAGGCAAGTGCAGGTCAGACTCTAGCTGTCCACATTGGGTGGAACCAGGGAGGACCCTGTGAGGACACGATGCTGCAGCTGCTGGGCCTGTGGCTCTACTGAGCAGCCAACCCCCTGCCCAATCGATTGTGGGGTCAAGTGAGGAGCAGGAGTATGGAGGGGGCTCAGATGGCAGAGAAGCGAGCAGAGAGGCCATCCAGAGTCCTGGGAACCCCTATGAACCTCAGCAGAGTGGCTCCAAAATCTTCCCTGTCTGTGGCAGGGAGCAACAGAAGAATGAGCTGGCACCAAGCCTGCTGGACTCAGGAGAGAGGGCCAGCGCAGAGAGAAGAGGATGGAACATTCTTCCAGGAGGAGACCATAACCCAGGTGGCTCGTTGGGAACAGAATGTCCAGAATCACCACTCCATCGGGATAAAAAGGCATGTTATAATAAAGAGCCAGAAAAAGCTGGTCTGGGCCATCAGCAGGAGAAGCAGAGGAGAGACAGGAAATTGGAAATGCAAGCTGCCCAGTGTGTCCACCGAAGCAGAAACACAGCCTGAAAAGGAACCAATATTCTCTGAGCACAAAATATTTCCAGGGTGCCGTTGTTCAAAGCATTCCTACTGTCCCAAAATAAACCCAAAAAGACAGGGGCATGGCGGGTTTCTCTGGCCTCCTTGTCAGCTGGGAGGAATCTCACCAGCCTTGGGGGACAGAGAATGACTCAAGGATGTGGAAAGGAATAGGGCTGTGCAAGAAGCTTCTGTCCCGTGGTAAAATGGTCTTACCAGGTGGTACCACCAGGTCCCTGCAGGTCATAGCACAGCAGGGGTTGCAAACCCCTCTGAGACTCTTCACCCCAGAACCTATCCCTCTGAAAGAACTGCCTGCATTTGGACAGGGAGGGGCACAGCCCTCAGCGTGTCAGCTCAGGTCTTCTGATCTCACCCTCTTCTTTCATCCAGGTGCCTCCAGATTCCCCAGGCTAATGTTCTAAGCTCTTGGGTTTCAATCTTATTTCTGAATGTGGCTGGCATGCCCCAAGGCCAGGAGCACTGGGGGCCAGGCTGCTGGGTGGCGAGGCCACTGCTGGCCCTTCTCTAGCTCAGGGCCACTCGGAGGCAGGGCAGTGAGCACCCAGCTCCCTTCCTGCTCCTCACAGGGCCCTGCGCTGACCTTATGTGTTCACAGACGCTGCTGGTGGAACATGGGGAAGCTGAAGGAAACATCTATATGATGCAGGTACCTGGTTCTGAGTCATGGAGCCGCCAGAAGTTTCTCCAATTACGCTCCCATACCCATAACCCGGCCACGTTGCCCTACTTATCTAGATATGGGCCTGTGCAGAGTCAAGTTCCCACCCACCATGGTTACCTGGAGACCCACACTAAAGGGGATGAGGCCTTCTACTCCCTTGAGAAATAGTTTCAACAGGGAAACAAGCCCCACACAGGTGATCCATTGTAAATACTGGGTCTTTGCAGACGTCAATGAGGCCCGTTGGGAAAACGCAAATTAAGAATTTTCAAGGACATTCTTCTAGTTATGAATGATAAATTTTCTAAATTTTTTATATTGAATATGTCCTAATAATCATAGAAAACACTATTAAAACCAGTGAACTAGTTTTCATGAAGAAAACCCATCTTTATGGAAAGGAGCATTTGAAATAATTCTAAAAACAGAGTTGCTCCCTGCCTTCAGGTCTTTCCATGGTGACCATCACCAGGGTCCTTCCTGTGGGGCTTTCAGCTGGACACCTGGCCAGAGAATCTAAAGAACACACATGGCCATGAATAATCTGTTCCTCCTCCCCCTGCTGCCCCAAACACAGACCCTTTTGCCTCCGGCTTGTCAAGATTTCTTCTCCTGGCTTGGCCTTTCTCAGCTCCTAAGGCTCAGGGTTCTCAACTTTTACTTCCAAGAAGGAAGACGCAAGGATGGGAACACTTGCTGAGCCAGGACAGTCTGCATAAGGCTCTGCAGGAAGGTCCTAGAACCTGCGCTGACTCAGGCTAAGTTCAAGTCGTAGGCTGTTGACAAAGAAGACTCCATTTTAGGTCTTAAGTTCATAAGGACAACCTCACACACGACACGTGGTCATGGTCTCACAATGGCTACCCTTAAGTGTCCCTCAGCCTGCATGCACAGTCACTAATAAGCAAGCAAGAATGGGCCTCCTCCCAGAGAAAGCGTGCCATCTGGATGCTGTACAGCCAGCAGAGGCCAGAATCAGGAAACAGCATTTCCCCTGTGCCCATGTGGACATACCAGGCCTAATTAGCTCTCGTTTAACTTGGAAGGCACCCCATTTTCCAGTCCTCTTCAGGTGAAAGGCTGGGAGTAAAGGGTGACACTTGGCAGTTGCCAGGCATTTCATCCAGTCCAGGTCCTGAGTGGTGACGTGGGCACAGTTTTGGCCCACAGACTCCTTGTATACCCTTTGCCCTGGCTGGGTGCTGCAGGCTAACGTCAGCCCAATGACACTGTATGTTGGTCTTCCCTAGATCTGAAGCTGAAGTTCTATAGGACAAGTGTGGACCTGTAGTCTTTTGGGGGACCCATGGCCCTTGATTCCTGGTGCCATCAAACAGGAGAAGGCAGGGACTTCCTTGAGTTGGAGGGGCCACTGCAAAGCTTCACACTGCTCATTCTCCTAGGGCAGGGGTCCTCAAACTTTTTAAACAGGGGGCCAGTTCACTGTCCCTCAGACCATTGGAGGGCTGGACTGTGGGCCCTGGGATGAGTCGGCTGCTAAGCAGGATAGGCAGTGGCAACAAAAACACCCGGCAGGCCAGATAAATGTCCTCGGTGGGCCACAGTTTGAGGACGCCTGTTCTAGGGCATTCCTTATTGCCAAAAATTACCACTAACCCTGACACAGGCTATTAGCAGTAGGACGTAGAGGGGTCCCTCATAGAACTAGAGTCCCCCAGAGCCTGAAGACACTTAGAGAACCCTAGTTCTTGTTCTCATTTTAGAAATGAGGAAGTTGAGGCTCAAAAATTGCCCTGCCCAGAGTCACACTGCTAGAAGGG